CCACTCCACTCCTCGGCCCCCCTCCCACTACATTTAGCGCTTTCGCAAAACGGATTTGCAATCATCTGACCAGGTAGTGTCTGTGCTCTTCTCTGTTGTTCTCTTATCCCTCATCCCGCGGTTGTGCTTTTGCTTTTGATGTTTTTCTGTTTTTGTTTTATTTTTCAATTCCTATATGTCTCCATTCCGATCACACATGTGACAATACTAACCTCATCACAGACGAGTAGTGTCCCAGCAAATCATTTTGTTTTCCACTGTCTGATCAATTTAACTTGCTTACTACAGGTGAGGAAAAAGTGAGCTTGTGCGGGTATGTATGAGCTTGAACTCGTAGTTTTGCATCGATTTTCATTATGACATATTCCTGTAAATTAAACAGTGTATTCCAATGAAGACGTCACCAAAGATATTTGCTCTCATTTGGATAACACGATTCTGTTTTGTTCGTTACATAAATAACATTCCAATTCCAGATGAGGTAACATTTTCTGCAAATCCTAAATAGTATCGTTCTTTTGTCTGTCTGTCTGTTTGTCTGACCGGGAGATTTTCCATCATCGACTGCTGTTTCAGCATGCCAACGAATTATGATTCCTTTTCAGTCAGTCATGTAATCTGTGTTTTCCCCTTTATTTATTCCAGGTAAAATGCGCAACTTAAAGAGATTGATACATGGTAAAGAATTCCATTTTGGTTTATGGGGCCAAACTACTCAACTGCACCGGAAGTATAGAAATATATACTACTGAATCCAGGCAGTACCAACAACTGTCGTAGTTTATTAGTGCAAACATTTATGTTCTTAAGCTATCTAGGTACATAAATTGCGTGAAGTGCAAAAAAGATCGCCGGTGCAGTATCAGCTGTGGGTTCGACTCCCCCTTTACAAGCACTTGGAAATCAATATCTCTTATACTTCAGTGATGAGAAACATCAGTGTCAGCTTGATCTAGAGGACACAATTTTTATATTTATTGGTTTGAACTGGTTATCCTTCGGACTGCACCTTCATGCACATCCTCAGTTCATCAATTCCACCATTCCACCACTTGGAAGCACAATACTCGAGTGTCGCAATTAGTAGAGCTCATCAGTAGTGCATATCCACTGTCCCGTCCGTGCTTGATACTCTAAATTTAATAACATCTTTGGATTAATTTGAACTGATCACCCTCGGGTTCTAACTGCAATCACGATTCTCCAATCATCCGGTCAACCGTACACTCGGGAAGCACTAGACTCGAGTTTCGTTCCGATTAGAGCTTATCAGTATTACATGGCAGCCTTGCCGCCTGGGCTTTAAATTCCAGATGTATCGTGTGGAAGGCTCGTGTGTGTGCGACCACGGTACCAGTATACTACTACTATTACTACTACAGTATACTGTTTCTTAACTCCGCCCCAAACGGTCTCACAAATACAAGTTCAGCTCGCAAGTTTGGGATTACTTTGCCGGTTGAACCTGCTAGACCATACATTACTTACATATAATTGGAGCTTCGTCGTTTAAAATGCATTTTATTGTATTATGTACATTTGCTTTTGAAAACCCACGGTTTATTATATTATCTATATGATTGACTTTCATTTTACAAATTGGTTAAGAGACTTCAACTAAGAGTGCGATGCTTTTTGATTAGGCAACAAATTAGATCAATCCACAGCTTACTCACATTCTCAAGCCGTCGAGTAAGCATTATCCCCGTACAGGATGTATCTGACTGGAATAAAATCTGCTTATCTCCCAGTTATGCAGAAGTTTCAGGATTATATTCTCACGTCTGATCACCTATTCAAAATAGCCTTGTTTTCCAAATGGACTGGCTTGATTTTTTTAAAACCAGGACCTGGAGATGACTGGCAAGCATATTAAATCTAACCACAAGCTGTAAAGAAATAGTTTTAGACATTCATCACAAAATTTAATTTGAGCAACTATTCTTGAGAAGACAAAGAAAACATTTCTGTCCATGTTTCAGTCATAGTGTTGTGAAATACTACTCACATGTGATTAGTGATGTATTTCAAATATCAAAAATCAACAAGATCACCGAAGGCAATTTGTTTGGTCTCAAAGAAGAACTATCAATTTCTAAATTCATTACCCGTCGTGTGGACAGGAACTGTGACAGTATGTTTCTGATTAGGTTTTCTGAGCTATGTATGCCAAATTACTGACCACCCATGTGTAATCTTCAATAAACGAATATCCTCGATGATCACCGCCAGTTGGAATTATAACAGTAGTGGACCGTTTCAGAAAGTGCAGTGCAACCCAATCTTCCTCAGATTGAGATTGAAGTTTCGCGTGATCTAGAGCACAATTTCAGGCGAACAATTGTTTTCAATAATTCATAATCATGCCGTTACAGTTTAAATAAGGGGGAAACCCACTAGAGGTTGAGAGGAGAATGATAAACTGTGAGGAATCGTTCACTTTGTGTCTCTCTCTCTCTGTGCTGCACACCATATTCTCAGATCTGTGTTTCCGGGGTTTTGAGTTGTCACGACGGTCGTCTGAGGGATCGGTGCTGTTGTGTGAAAATGTATGTGTGTGCGGGCAGGAGGGAGGGGTGTTTTCGTGAACCTAGGGGAGATGGAGAGTAGAGCTTGGATAAAATGCGTGATCAGGGTCAAATTGTCAATACAGATGGCCTCGGCTATGGCCAACGTACAAATTCTAACTGATTTGGACCGGTTTGGGGGTGGGGGGACCTAATAGATAATGCGAAATGTTTAACTTGGATTAACACGATGTCCAGTGTCTTCCAAGTGAACTAGATCGGGAACCACCTTGACTCAGTCAGCGCGGATGGTGTTCCTTCATGCCTGTGTCGTACAACCGACGTAGAGTGAATCACAAACGCATCTGAACGAGTAAACAATCATTGCACCGGTCAACATCGGTAGTTTATCTTTGTTCCTTATGGTTATCAGTGGCGAATGTTTGAAAGAGCAGCGTGGGTGCGTGGCGTTCAATGTGGCGTTTATCGCCCCATTCGTGTAATCATTTATATTACTCGGTCACGCGCNCGTTGATATCTCTCTAATCTCTCGAATCACGAAATAATTTTTTTTGTGCACTGCTGCTAGAATGAGCACGACCAAAAATTTGATTTTTTCATATCTAACAGTTTTAGGTATTCCTCTACGGTCGTTTTCGTTCGTTTATTATTCGTTTACCACTTCGAAAAGAAGCTGATTAGAACCGGGTTTATGTTATATTGAATTCCGCAACGTAGTTTCTCATCCGGTTCCCATCATCTTTCCCGTGTTTCCGAACAGTTCATTTCAACATCGATAACTTATCAGACCCACATCATCACACAGTTCCATGCGCTCGTCTGCACGGATCTACCACATTACGCATTTCCAGTACACTGTTTACGACTTAAAACCCTGGGGTGGACACAAACTGGCAAATAGATTGGGCAATGTCTTTTGCCGTGTGCAGAGCAAATGAAACGTGAACTGAAAAGCTGCGGAGCACTGGACAGCTGTTTCTACCTGTGTTTGGGTCTACTCAGTGGTACGGATCCATCGACTTAACTGGGAATGGAACTCGGGATCTCACAGACAGAACGTAAATATGCTACCAAAATAGCCGCCGGACAGCTGATTGGACTGTTTTTCCTTTTCAACCTACACGATAAAGCATACCCCCTGGTTGCTAACTTGGTACAGGCACCGCGCCTAGCACATCTCAACACTAACCTCCGGGGTTATGACTCGATTGGAAACGTTCACAACCTGACTACTTGCTGCATAAGAGTAGGGCTACCTAGCTTTTCAGTTCACGCTTCATTTGCTTTATGAAAGACGAATTCCTCTCATGAAATTGAATGCAGTTTTCTGTTAACCTCATGCATCGGGCAATAATATTTTTTTCAGTCACCACTCTTGGGTATTTGAGTTGAAAAATTTACGAATATCAGGTCTGATGCGTTAATAACTCATCCAATCGTGATAAATCGGTTTTGATAGAAACAAACGCTCTCACTCTCCTAACAGTTTTATTGATCGCACACTCAGAGTATGATATCGAATTTCAATATTAAAACTGTTGGCAAAACGTGGGGTTGACACATACGGAACGTCAAGGCGGTCAGGTGTGGAATCGGAAAGATTTAAGAAGTCTATCTTCAACTTTGTGTTGCCAACTCATCCCCAGCTACCTCGTATCCTTGTTTCTCCGTGAACGTAAATCAAACAGACAGGTTACTCTCGCACCAGCACCATTCACTCCATGTTCATCTTATTTCGTGTATTTTTATCGATTTTCATCAGTTGCGGTCGCTTTCAGTTTCCAGTTCCAGTCTTGCTCATGCTCGCTCTCTTGCTCTCTGTCTGATCATCTGCCATTTCAGAAACATTCAACCAAACGGGACCCGAAAGAACTGGGCCTGACTGCACGCGAATTACAAGGTAAACTGGGGAATGCTTGTTCATATAAACAATGCCGCACTTGCTTAGCAATTCCAAAAGTAGGCCATAAAAATGGCTATAGGTGTTATATGATGAGCATTTCTAAGTCAAAGTCAAAGTCGAAGTTTTATTGTGGGAAATACTTACAAACGATTGCTTTTCTAGTCCCATAGGGTTTAGCATAGATGAATCGATTTACGGTTAATATAACGTGGACGAACGTCAAAATCTATGCTTGTTTCGCGCACTGCTACGGATGTTGAAATTTAAGACTTGTCAAAGCTTCATCCAGTTTGTGCTTGAATGAATCGATTGCGAGCGCAGAAACAACGTGTGGTGGTAGAGAATTCCAAGTAAGTAGTAAGTATTTTGATCCAGTGCCCTCGCAGGTGAGTGTTGGACGACTAGGCAAATAACGAAAGACATGGGCAATCTGGGTCCTGCATTATTTGATTCACCAAGATCAAGTCCCCTCGAATGCGGCGGTACTGTGTGGAGTACAGTTGCGGTCTATCGGCGTAACTCTTGGAATGTAGTCCCTAGACTATTTTGGTGGCCATCCTTTGTGAACGTTCCATAATCTTATGATCGCGTTTTAACCAAGAATTCCATACTCGCTTAGCAAACCAACATTTCTTCCAGCGGTAGAGGGCGCCCTGAAGCAGTTTAAAGAACAACTTAGGTCGTCTCGGACAATGACACCGAGATCCTTCTCATTGGAGACATACGGAAGTTGTTGATCTCCCGGGAAATACGGAAATCGGACGGATACGACGGTACCATTTGATGCAATAAATTCTATGTCGTTTTTGATCGACCATCGACAGGCATTAATAAGTGTTCTCTGAAGTGCTAGCAACTCCTCTAGTTTTCCTCCCTTTTTCTATATTTTAGCATCGTCAGCAAAGATTAATGTTTGTTGCCCTAGAAGTCAAGTCGTTAATAAGAACAAGGAAAAGTTGAGAGACCAGCACGGATCCCTGTACTATGCTAATGGGATCAAAGTGACCCAGAAACGCGAACTGATCGGACCAAAGATTTTCCCCAATTAAAAGGTCACGTGGAAGCCCAAAAAGCTTGGATGTAAGTTGAAAAATTACAGACAGAGAGAGAGGGGACAGAAAAAAACTTCACATGATGGATGAAAAGTATATAGTGATACAAGTAATAATATTCAACGGAAATCATCACATTTGCTGATAGTGTTTTGATTTTGAATGGGATTTAGTATCAACAATGGAAGATGTCAGATGCATTGATTGTTGAGTAGAGGTAGGAAATACAGCCAGCCTCTGTATTTATTATATTGAAGAATTAGTTCTGAGATGCATAGTAGAATGGAAAGTAAACCAAGCTACCAGTCAAACGATTACTTGTGAAGATTTCAATCATCACGTGTAATGAAAAAAACTCTAAACTCCCATTAATAAAAAGAATAGTCTATGATTCTGCAAAAAGTGAAGAAAAAACCACTTTCGATGCTTTCGGTTGAAGCCTTTATAACAGATCTATATTATGGCATAAGTTATCCGATAGTGTGCTGAAATGAACCCACGTCTGATGTGCCGGTGGAACGGTTTACATTTGCTCATTTGGTTGGATTGGTTATTTTCCGAGGGCTACTAAATCTGAACACATGACTCCAATCGCGATGAACCACTGTGTAGAGGTCAAATGTGAATCATTCATTTGATCTTTAAAAGTGAAACTTGATAAAGCATGAGCACACCTTAAATTCCATCATCGAATGAATCTGCGTGTAGCAGTGACAGATTAGGCAAGAAATTGTATATATCACTAGCTTTCAAACCACAAATATGGGACTGGAAAACCATGAGCTTGTAAGTTATTTCCATAATAACACTTTCACTTTGACTAATGAAAGCTTATGTTCAATTGTTTACGTCATCTAATACGTCTTCGTAATGTTATGGGACGCGTAATACAATGTACTAACCAGTTCAGTCAGTGATATTCGTCATAAATTTTTCCGTTAGGTAACTTGCACAATTGCTTTGGCGAAAAGGTAGTTTATAATCAGTTTGACAGATCTGAACTTTTCCCAAAATTGGGCGGCTGAAACATCTCTATATTATACAATTCAGAGAAAATGAATTTAGAAGCCATATGGCAATCACTAATACTGCTATGATTTCGGAGCCAGTAATACATTAAGTGATTTGACTCGCGTGGTCAACATCGATCAGCGTGGACATTTTCCTAGGCGTCGCATGACCAGTCACATGAACGTTTGGGCTTCCGGCTCACTATCGGACAGATGAATATTCCTTGTCGAGCCTTGCACTCACAAACTTTTCCTCCTTCCTCGGTTGTTGTTTTCCCATAGAATTCGAGGTGGCTTTCAACATGTTGGACAAGAACAAAAGCGGTCAGATTGAGAAAAAAGAATTGGCCAAAGCTCTCGATGATATCGGGGAGCATTCGAGCTCCAAAGAGTTGAATGACATGTTCCAAATCTTGGAAAATTTGGGTACGTTTTGATGCATAGTTTTCTTTCTATGTGGGAAGACAAAGTCCGAAAGGGAGATGATGCAATTTGCCTCAGATTTGGTCTCATTACGCGCACGCACACGCACACGCACATACACATCTTTGTATGATGAACAGTAGACGAGGTGAACTACATCCCCCGTCGGTCACGCCTTAGTAGCCTGGAATTATTCGGTAAGTTAGTTTGTATAGCTATTCGCACTAAATAGGTAGAGCTACGGGTAGCAGAATGAAGTCTAATAAAGTAACCGTGCTTATCGACAATGATATGAACCGTGATTATAAAATCATACAGTAATAATAAATCAGAGAAAGTAACTTACAGCCAGGTGAGTAACCAAATTACAGAGCAGCAGTATCAATCCTTGACAGCAATGGTAGGACCAAGGTCTACCTGGCAGACAGCTAAGCGTAACAGTATCGCAGCAGTGAAATTCAAATTGGTGGGAGGTTGCGGTACGGTATGGGAAGGACTTACAGTACAGTAAAACGACAGAGAAGGAAATTACAATGGATTAGAATGAAGTATAGTAAATGCTAACAAATCGGAATGGGATGAAAAGAGGTGGTATTATTCAAAACTGTGCGTGTCAGACGGCAGCATTGGAGATAAGGAATGAACACATCCATTACCAGTTCGCGTGGCCTAGAGGTACCAGGAGTGTCAGTCAGGAGTGGCCTGCGGTTCGTTTGCTGCTGGCAGTAGAGTTTTACTCACGGAATAAGCGTTCAGAAAACTGTTTTTTACCAATCGGAAAATTCGACCTTATGAATAAACATGTCGTAATCCCAGCACTAAAAGTCCGGTAACTATGTTATCAGTTTATATAAATTTCCTGACTATAGATGCCATGGGATAAACAAAACACTGTTGGAAAAATAAATGCCGAATGCTACTCATGTTTAGTCTCATGAAAACCGGGGAAGAAACATCTAATTACGAATAGCAATCAACACCTATTATCAGAGCTTGAAACAGCGAACCCCATAGGTATACAACTGGACTGACCTTCGGAACAAATGCCCAACGGCGGTGTCGGTATGGGAATCGGAACATCTTTGGGCTGACAACATGCCACAGACAGTAGTTGAAACGGTATGGCTATGTCCATCTTATCCGGGAGCGCTGTACTTACAAGCTCGTCAAACACTGAAGTCGGACAAAAATCAGCTGTTTCCAATCACATGACCCATGCGGACTGAAGTTTTGGTGGTTCGAAACTAGATTTTAACGTTTCACAATATCACTCACTGGGTGATGATAACTGGTCAGCTGCAGACATCCCACCGGGAACTCTGTTGGTTAATCATAGAAAGATCGGATCAATATTGAAAATATTGTTAAAAGTTGTTTACTGAAAAAATGTCAACCTTTCCAGTTGATGCTTTGCCAAGCGATGTGTGAAGGATGAAAAAAACATACTGTCACACAGTCAATAGTGGGATATTTGGGAGTTTTCATTATTAGTCTGTGGACGTTTCAGGAGATTGACAGAATTAGTAAATCGCAGAGAGGTGTTATTATGATATACTTCACACACACACACACACACACGTGTTTGAGTCCAGACGGTGTGTCAAACAAAGCCCGATACAATAAGAAAGAAATCATTACATGATATAGTTTACTTTACTTTACTTTTCTACGGTTGGCTCTTTGGAAAGGATAAGCCGGTTCCATGAATACCTCTGATTGCCACCGGGGAAGACATGATCATGAAGTCTCAAACTTTACTCGGCGTTTTTTTATTTTAAGGGCGCATCTCTGTCCTTTGCAAAACCATGTGCAAACTGCAAGGTAGCAGGAAATAATCCCTCTCAGCTCGAAAGTGAAGGGGTCAATGACATTAGATTTAAAAGGCCAATTACATTCACCTTTGTCACAACACCATTATTGGGCTTATACGGCTTTTAAACAGGAGTCACGTGACGAGCCGGAAACCCACCACACCCCGGTAGTTAGTGCCGCCGCTGATTGTTCGCAACTGCTTATTTGTTGCGGTGTGCCACAACGTATTCACAGTAAACCTTCTTCGGTGAAGATATTCCCCTATCCACAACCCAGCAACGCGCCTGCTAGCATTCAGCTCTGCTTATCCCGAGGGTGTCCATGCAGGTAGACGAAATATGGCTCNGGCCAAATCAGGCCGAAGCCTTATCCGCAGGTCAAAGAGGTGGTGTGTAAATCGTAGTCCATTGGAGGCCAATGTCCAGTTCGTCGGATCACACGCCCTTTGGACGGAGTCCAAGGTGCTCAATGCACGTCGATGCTCAATCGAGCAGGCGACCACTGCCACAACCAGGAAGTTGTGTATGTGGTTCTTACGCTTCCTCTTAGTGGATTTGGAATCAGGGTTTTCTACCAACTCGCCTAGCCGAACTACCAGTTGTCCACAAACCCAAATATTGGCTTTTAGTCCCCTCATTTCAGTAGGGAAACCCATCCGTCTCGAGAAAGCAGTGAGTAGAGCTTCCCCAGCAGAGGCTGTTTTAAATGCTTCATCGTACGGGAGCATTTCGCCAGATGCAATGAAACAGTGACCGATCACAATCCAAGAAAAGCAACCCTGATCATCCGGAGTCTAACGGAAGCTAAACTCAAAGTTATACATAGTTCATAATGCTTGTGGGCAGTTTGAATTTCACACGGATAACGATTTCAGTCTGCTATTGCCGCCATAATCAATAAACTGTGGGATACACGTGATACATGCTATTCCCGAGACAGATAATCGATAAATTGCGTACCTCGCTCCCAGCTTGAACAATAGTGCACTTGATACAAAGTTTTGGTCCGATCCTTATAACGTGAGATGCCCCTTACGAAAGTGAACTGATTTGAACTTCTTTGATCCGATTTCCGCCCCGTAAAACATTTCTTTTCCAAACGAGAACTACAGTCTGAGATACCTGGCTTCACTGATTACATAGAATGAAATCATGAATTCTGTTTGGTATGCAATGCTTGTACAGGTACCATTGAGAACCGCAATTAGGTGTATTTCGTCAACTCAGTCTGACAGCTACTCGCCAGTGTTATCTTTAAAATGCGAGGCCCTTATCCCGTTGAAAAAGAAAAGAAACGATATCCGAGGAGGACCAAAGGGATGACTTCCAAGACAACCTGATCTGTCTCCATTGGATTTCTTTCTGTGGGAATATCTATAGCAAACCATTTATTCCCGAAAACCGAAGACGATCAAAGAGATAGAACATAGATTTTAATTTGCTTATCAGCATTTTGGCACCGTTTCTGGTAACCCACGTTACACGAGCGTTGTTGAATTCCTTCACTGTCAGTGAAAGCTTTTCTTTGTCCCCGTCGTACATCGCAATCAACGAAGAACGATCGTCGATCGACAGACGATGAGTACGTGAACAAGTCATTATGATAACCAATGTGATGGTTGTCTGATTGTAATCCTGTTCTTTATATACCACAATAACTTGCCGTTATCTCGAAGTAGAAGAAGAACACTCAAACACAATAAGGGACTCGACAGATCCTGCTTACGATTATCTCTGATCAGTGATTGGTCTGGTTTCATCAGTGGTCCAAGAGGTACTGCTGCGATTATCGTTCAACCATTCGCACCGGTGGGTTAGCTGCGCTGGTGTGACAAAGCCGGGCAAACCATTTAATGAATGTATTGTAAGAATACGTAAGTCAAGACAGGAGTGGTTTGTGAACAGGCACTCAGAGATCCGGTTGGATGATCGGTTATGGGTAGATGATCGTGCGGATATCTGAAGCGAACCGTTTATTCCCGAAAACAGAGGACGATCGAGCAGCTTGAACAGCGTATCGTCGCGCAGTGCGAGAGTAGTACAACTGCTACTAGTCTGAAGGTGGAAGAAAACTATCCTGGTTGTATTTTGCTTTACAAGCAGCAGGATGGAAAAGATATTGAACAACTTTTATAAAATAGATATGCATTGTTCCACAACATTTGTTCTCTCCTCCGGCATTCGCATTCTATCTTCGACATAGCTGGGAAGAACTTTTAGCGCGAAAAAAAGCCAGTGGGTGAAATTTCAAGAACAGTATTGCGTTGGCCAATATTAGTGGATATTTTAGTCCGTACTTAAGACAAGTTCAAACCTTCAATACCGAACCCGCTTATAAAAGTAGCGTGTTTAACTTAGACGAGTCACGCATTGGCCCAGTGTCATGATCGCCTGAACGTTTTCCATTCCGAATTTTCCACAACTGATTCTCTTGTGATGATTCACTTAAGTAGCATCGGATTCCGAAATTATCAACCTCCTATGCCGGCCCGAAAATCCCACGACCGATCGGAATCACTTATCGATCGGTCGGACAGCACAGCTGCAACAAGGGACCTGGTGATTGCCCAG